AAGCATGCACAAAAAAAGTAAAAGATGAATCCGACCTGAAGCTTTTTTAATCATGCTTGGACATAGGTGCATTTCTCCGCCAAGCTTAAAAGGGTGTTACAGCTAGGAGCAGGTGCTGTGATAGGATAGACGGAGTCTGAATGGAATCTGACATACTAGGCCAAGACAGTCATAGGGGCTCACTAATTTTAGACCTCTTCTATAAGGGGAAACTTTGCTTTGAGAGGCTGCCTAGAGACGACAGAGGACACAAAATGACAGTTTTACAAAGTACACACCAATTGAACTTTAGTGTTAGATTGCAACATCCAGCTCTTGAAAACTCTTCCTTACACCTAGAGTCTGTAAATGAGGACTACAGCACAAGTAATTCATCCTGAAGAGCTGCAATGTTTTTTTTTAAACTTAAGTTTGGGAAAGTGATTCTTTGCTTTGAGCTTGAAAATGCTGCCAATTTAAAATTATATATTTAAATTAAAATTTAGTAAAAAAAAAAAAATGCATAAAAACATGTGATTTAACCTATTGACCACTTGAACTTGTGACATTAGCTATCTTCTGTCCATATTTTACTGCCCTCTGTTCAGTGCATCAAAGAATATTTGTTTCATGTGGTTAGACTAGTCCATCGTCTTATAGGGAAAGAATGCCGAGCACTTCTGCGATGCGGGGATTTAGTGTTCACACCACACTACTGACAGAAATCCAAAAGCACAGCAGCTTGACAATATCAAGAATAGGTCTTTGATCAGCTAATGGACAGTCAAAACAGAATTTTGAATGACTATGAAATAAAGCTAGAGAAATGCATTCTCATGGAGCCACCTGCCATTTAATCCCTTTGACTGAAAGGTGGTGTGCTTTTACAGAACACAAACAGAATTAATTGCACAGAAGCCAACCAAAAAAAAAAAAAACACCTTTGCGTGTTATGTGTCTCCAGCACACTGTTATCTAGCACACTGTACATAAATATGCTTGCAGAAATCCTCCTACAGACACATGACACATTTCTATCTTGAGCTCAGTGTATTTAGATATTCTATTTTTTGACAAATATGCAGTGGGTAGAAACTGCCCCACAAATAAAACAGGCTTAGGAGGTCACTTGACAATTTGTATACAAAACACCACGTAACCTTTTAGATATGCCACTGACTCCATAATATATGTAGTGCAGGAAATTCTGATTTTGTCCTTGTTTGGAGATAAAAGTCTAATATAATTGCATAGTAAAAGTGCATTTCAATGCATTGATTCTAATACTGCACTGCAACTATTCCCTTGGAAATTTCCTGGATAACATCATGACTCAATCTAACAAAGCAGATTAGCTCACACATGTCCAACTGCACAGCAGTTTTATATGAGGTTAAAGGCACAAAAAAAGACGATCAGTCCTTGTCTTCCCATAAATTCTTCCCAAAGTCATCTGTGGGTGCATATAATCTCAATTATTTCAATTTCTATCTTTTGATGTCAGAGTATAATCAACCCTGTTAATAAATAATATGGCCTAATCGTGCTATTGAAATGTTTTATTATTTCTTAGAAACAGATCTTCCACTTTAATGCATTCGAAAAGTCAAATGTACATCTCCATTTTTGTTTTAAGTTCAGAAGGAGATCCTCTTCAACAGCTAATGTAGTTCAATTTCACAAGCTGAAAGAGAAAAAAACAATATCCTTTATGATCTCTTAAAGGGGTCATATGACATTGCTAAAAAGAACATCATTTTTTGTATTTGGTGTAATGCAATGTGTTTATGCGGGTTAAGGTTAAAAAAACACATTATTTTCCACATACTGTACATTATTGTTTCTCCTCTATGCCCCGCCTTTCTGAAACGCGATTTTTACAAAGCTCATCGGTCTGAAAAGCAAGGTGTGCTCTGATTGGCCAGCTATCCAGTGCGTTGTGATTGGCCGAATACCTCAAGTGTG